ACTGTTAACTTATGATTTTCTCTCTAAGGATATTTTAACAATGTGTGATTTCTACTGCGGTGTCTTGAATGAGTCCTGCCTTGTTTCGTACAGAAGCATCCGGATGAGAGTGAGCATTTCGTATAAATTCCATGTTTGTGTGTGTCATAGAACAGTGTGGCCTAATTTGGTAGGTGCGCGGGAATACAGAAACCCATAGGCCATGTTTATCATTAAGTGAAAGAAATGGACAGTATTCTTTTTCCACTTTCTTCCTATTTGTCTAGGCTCTTATGTATAACGAGTATTTAAGAGAACAAATAAGGGGACTACTCTCAGGAGCATTATGGCAGGATTATTAAAAATAGGAAATTATGCATTCACCATTTGGACATTTTTTGTCCCTTGTATGTTACGGAGAATTTGTCTACTCCCACATTGAAGACGAGTGGGGCATACAGTCGTAGATGAAATGTCTCGCGGCCTTCAGATATGTTTCGCCCATCATGAGTCGCAATTGGTGAGTTGCCTTTGACATGTGTTTTGCATTGCAATTGTGCCAAACAGTGGGGTTGATTATCTTCCTAATGTGTTAACTATTTTACATACCTCCTGTCCGTGTCTTTGGAAGAACGTGCCCCCTCTGTTTTCCGGGCAGGAGATCCTCGCATGTTTCTGTACTCTGTATTTATCAAAGTTCTCTCAGGTCATCTCACTTTAGGGCATTCGTATGAACACCATTCCAATGTAACATGTAAGTATGCCTCTCCTATTTCGCCCCTGAAGAGGTTCTACTCCAGCTACTTCATTATCATGATGGTGAGCGCCTCTGTATTATTGTTCGTTTGTCTCCTCTTATATGACGCGTCTAAATCTTTGTGGTTTATACTCAGCGTGATTTCCTCTTTTTTTTTGACATGTCAAGAAAAATTCTCTGTGTATCTGCTATGTTTGGGGACGTTTCTATGTTCTCCTCGTTCAAATAGTTTCTTATGTGGCCGTTCATGTAGAACTTCACGTCTTGTGAATCCTATTGCTTTTTGTATTCATCCAGAAGCATCATGAATAGCGTTATCAACAGTTCCGTATGTACTGCTTCATCTGTGAGTACACACAATTTGTGGTTATGCACCTCCCGTTTTTCTTTATGGCATCTTGTCCCCGACGGGTTATCAGTCGTCTCATATATCACATGCTCGGCTGTTTCCCTCTGGTAGACCCTTATAACTTTCTAAAAAGAACTATCTGGAATATATCGTTTCATACGTATGTGTTGTTTTGAAACCTAATTGTTACATACACGCCCTCGCCTTTGTAGGACAAGAGTATGTCGTTCCTAGTTAAATTGATTGCTTGTAGACATTAAAATTTCCTGAATGCATTGTTCTTCCATTTTGCGTCTTTGGTGTAATCTGTGGAATTAATTGTTTTCTTTCAACATATCAAAAATATTCAAGTATCTATGTTTTAAATTATGCCACAGATGTTTTGGTATGTACAGATGACCATAGTTGTGTGCATCTATTCCCATTATGTTTCTCCGTCAGGTAATTCCACCTATCACACCTTTATTTATCATAAATGTTTGCACCACTACTTGAAGGAAATGTTTCTTTGTAAATTTGCATTCTTCTTTTTTGATTCATCTAAAAGTTCTGTATGTATATATAGAATATTCTGGGGAGCATTCCTCTCTTATTTTGCCTGTATACATTTTTTCAGATTTTTTAATTACATATTAACTATTCATATTCAGGGTTGTGCAGTTGTACTTCGTCACTATCTTATAGCCCTCTTCTTTTCGCAGTTATGGCTACACATTGTTGTCTGTATGTGTACTCATCTTCAGGATCTGCGGTTTTCCTATTTGGAAGCAAGAAGGGACTCTATCAGCGTATCTTGCACTAGGAGAAGTTGGCACAAGGGGTTAGCTCTAGTTCCGCCCCGTCGCCAAATACTTACCACGGCGCACTAAATGATATTTTTCCTGTTTGCATAGATATATTTATACTTTCATAAGAAAGGTGAGCTCTCTAATCAGACTCCTGATTATTAAGATAATAGATGAAACCTGAATAGAGGCAATAGCATCATTATGTAGTGCTGGGGGGGCTACACGGCGTCTGTGGTGTCCTCAGGATTGCCAATTTCGTGTCCCAAAAGTGGTAAGCATAAGGATAGAGGAGGGAGCATCCGTAGCACTTAAGGACATTATGTAGTCCCCACAGCGCAGGATTTATGTGTGGTGGGTTGTGACCGATTTGCATAAACTGATAGGTAAAGCACCGAGGCTGGTGGATAAAATAGACTGAAACTACTGGGGGAGGGAATTTGAAGGGACGCGCCTTGCGTAATATCCGCGCGTGGGGGATTGGATGCAGGAGACATTCAATCTTTACGTACAATATCAGGAGATTGAATAATTCGGATGGTAAGTATACTTTCCGAATCTGTAATTATTTTACATTTATATTTTCCATGTGTATACCCAGTGGCATTGCTTTCAACCTTTCAACACTGAGAACTGCAGTAGAAGTTGATATTGATGCATTCCTACCTGCCGCGGAATTTGATTCCTGACGGAGCTACCATGCTTCAGATGTGCGCTTAAATCTTTTGCAATCCTCACCGGTGCTCTGAAAATTTTTCCATGGATGACGTCCTCTCATTTGGTGTGGCAATATTTCACGGAACTTCTGAATAATAACCTAGGCGTTGAAAGATATTGTCAGACCGAGTAACTGCTGTAAAGTCCCGTTCGGATGAAGATGTATCAATAGTTGCTGTTAGTATAAGATTTTTATTCGGTATAATGATTTTTAGCGTATGCAGGCACTGTGTTCCTTTGTGCCAACGTAATGAAAGTCGCAAGAAGAATTCTTTTCATTCAGGAGTCAAGTACCAAGAACGTGTGCACATTCCAGTTCTCAAAGTATGCAGGACAATTCTACCGTACCAATTAAGGCTTGCATTATTCTTTCGTATAAATAGTCAGGATTCAAAGAGAAACCAGAACCTGTAGGGGGGGTGAATTAGGTGGTCAAAGGACTCTACATAGTTAAATAACACATGTTTCTTGGTTTTTCTTGGGGGGTGAAGGTTGTGATAAAACGTTTATGGAGCAGTGTTTGAAATCACCTAGCACCTGGTCTAAATGAACACGTTCGATGTGTGTGTTATAATCGTGGTACACTCCCTTACTATTATTCAGGTGAGTAGGAAATCTAGTTTTATATATCTCGCATGGAGTTCGACGTGTCCAATGCTACGTCCATAATATCGGTTAAAGGTAAATATTCTGAACTAATAATTCTGCCTATATTAGATTGTGTATTATATTGACCTTTTTGTTTTACATCACATTGTCATGCCTGATATTCTCCGCGCTGATGTGTGCATATTCTGGAACATCATCTAATAGATACATATTGTGTTATGAAAAAAGAAATTTCAACACTGCGGAGATGTCATGAAGAAGTACATCAAATAATGGTTTGGCTATGCATATTATATGTCTTAGGCCGAAAAATACCATTTCGAGAAAATCTGCACTTTAGTTTGCTGCGCCTTCAGATTCAGAAGAGAGCGTTATTTTTCAATAAAATGATAACAGTCGGATTAGGAACATAGGTATTGTTTATAAATCCGTGTTATATTAATAAAGTGTGCGGAAGACGCCGCCCTGCCGATAAAATTCAGTCCCTTCATCATGAAGTGGAACGTAGTCTGTTCGTTACTTATCTATAAGGGAGTACATTGAAATTGAAAAGCATCTGCCAAGAAGAAGAATAGCAGAAAGAATTGTACTATTATACAGTACGGGCCATGTCATGATACGGCATGTGGTAAAACTCTGGGGCTTCAAACATCATGTATGGATTTATCAGAGACTGTAATATATAACGTTAATTCACACACAATCGCGGAATGAAATGAAGATACCGCATATAAAGCGGCTTCGTAGTCCTAGGTTAACCATGTGTTTTTCGAATAAAGGAGGTTATTTATAAATTCTCCGTCTTCTTCTGCTTCGGCTGCTCAGTTTCCTCTGATTAATTAGTTTCCTTTTATTGCTGATCGTGAACTGCTTCAGGCATTTCTGGAAACTATTTTTGCGCGCTATAAAAGTAAGCACACGTGCAGTAATGCCTTGTTAATAATGCACAACGAAAGGCATGGGTGTGGGAGGAGAAAAAAAGAATTGCAACAGATTAACTATAGCATATAATATGTCGTGTCATTGAACTGTATAAGGCGCGTATATTATGGGATTTAATTTCGTTTGAAAAAGTGACTCCTTGTTGAAAGCATATGGGTTCTTCGTTATTTATGGACGGATTCCATGCACTGTCCATATATTATGAAGTAAGAAAGGGTACCCTCTTGGCATGGTGTTTTGAACTATGTGAATCACAGAGAATATACCCCCTTGGTCTGTATGATATTACATGTAGGACCACAATTGGGAATAATATGTAACATAAATTCATTTTTATACATAATTCTTGCGGGATTTATTTTATAGAGCTGAAGCTAAGAGCAAGTGTCGGCATAATTTCTATATTTCGTACAACATGACCACCTCATGGTAAAGGGAGCCGTAGAATCAGTGAAGTATATAACCACGTGAAGTTACGGAAAGAAGATGTTTCTTCCTTTTCAATCTTTTTAGAATATTTCACAGAGCATTACGAAACCGGACCCGCGAGAAAAAGAAAAAAAAAAAGCGCTTTAAGGTGTGCCTTATCTTGCTCACTACGATGTATATTTCCCCTTTACATTATGTACACCTAATACTAAAATTCATGAAAAGAAAAGGATCACAAGGAAAAAATGGGAGCAAATATAGTCTCTACGGAATACTGAGTAATATAGCAGAGTCCCCAACTATACTGTTCGGATTCGGTGAGAAAGTCATCATTTATTATTCTTCACTAGTTCATTACGTAACTGAATCTATTTTTGTGGACATTTTGAAGGACGAAAAGAGGAGTGATGAGTGGTATTATAGATTTATCTCACTGCAGGGACGGGGGTAACATTATCTGGTTCGTGCTGTAAATAGTCCTGTGTGACCTGTAGTATATTCAAATGTTCAGCTGACCGTCTATATTCTTTTCTTGCGCAACGCAATTATTTGGATGGGGTCTGGTCGTTAATACATCAGCTATGGTATTGTATAACGTGTAAGGTGTGGCATGATAAAGGACGTATATTTACGGAGAAATCAATTTTAGTATAGTGTATGTGGATAGAATATGTAACAGCTGCAATTTTAAACAGCATGTGGGCTTCCAATTACCTGGGCATAGTGTAACACAAATTATGATTGGAGACCGTCCTGTTTCATAATATAGAAAGGGTGAACTTTTTCCATCGTGATGTCCTTTATATATGGCTCATGATTCGTACACATACCAGGAAGCATTTTTTTCGTTTTCTTTTGTTCTGGTTCCTTCTCCGCTACACTGACATGGGGTTTGGACGTAATCTACAAAAGGGGACTGCAGGGACAAATATTAACAGGTGTAAATGTGTTTATACAGGGCGGCTGTCAATATGCTTATATGCATTCTGAACATTGAGGTAGATACTGACAAAAACACCATTGCGAATTCCCTAAGGAAAACATGCAGGTTGCTGTTAACATCAAATAATTCTATCACCAGGCACGCGTGACATGGAAAATATGTCTTAGACAGTTGGACAATAAAACTGCGTTCAGATTAGCAGGGGAATTCCATGGGCTGATTGCGAGGGGATACATAAATCCGCCGTTGAGAAGTTAAATATTATGCTCCTTACATAAGATTTCGCAAGGAATACTCCGTGCCTTATCAGGGAGTAAATTGATTTGGTTGCCCCATATGGATGGAATCGATTTTGAGATTAAGACAATGGCGACGTCTGCATATTTATTTATTTTAATAGAAGGGGGGTTCTTCCAGATTACACATATCAAATAGTCGTGGAGAAATTCATATAAAATGTGTTTCCTCATGTTGTACATAAGTAATGAGTATTAATAGTAATCGATGTGTCACAATCACGTTAATAAGAAATGGTTTCCGCGTTATAAACACACCTTGGGTAGCGTCTTATAGAAATGAAGGGAATTTTAATTATTTATAGAAATCTGGAACAGGCGAATCTTAATAGAACATGCATGGTTTATACGTGTATCTAAATTGAAGACAATGACATATATTTATATATACAGAAAAGATGAGCACTTCATATAATCAATTATAAATAAAATTACACCAGGAAGAATAGAAGAAGGAAGAACATAAAGAAAAATATGAAGACATCGATTCCATGGAAGCTGTAGCATTAGTGTAAAATTACATATTCCAAATAGGTTCTCTCTTTGTATTCATGATAAATATCGTCTCTGTCCTTCGCCGTTTATCTATTGTCACATTCTATGCATTGAGAAAAGAAAACAGCAAATAGAAGGAGATGAGTGAGGTGGAGTCGCTCACATTCGGGGAAGAATTCTGTTGCATATATCCGTTACAGACGTCTTTTGCTTGGAACGCCCATGTCTGTTTTATTGTACAAGAAAGGAGCAATCTTTTATAAGTAAGATTTTATCTTTATTGAGAAGCATTACTTTTTTCGCCATCACCTTCCTGTGTAGCGCAATCGTTATGAGACACCTTAAAAATTAGTAAGACTGGATGAGGAGATTTATATGAGTGCACACTTTAGCAATTTCTCCATGACCGCTATAATGGTACATATAGCTATATATACGTATGTATACATCTATATATATGTTTGTGTCGTAATATTATCTTGATAAGTGGAATAAGGCTAATATACTCCTTGTAAGCAGCTATAATAGCACAGGCGCCACACCTTGGTATACCGGAATGGGTTTTGCACATTGTAATAACCCACATATTAGAATATAATGTTGATTTCGTACACATGGTGAGCTTTACGGGAGAATTGTTCCCAGAAGTGTTTGGGTATTATTCCTGGTTCCATAAAGTTCGCAATACTCGACATTTCCTTTATTGGTGTGTACTGATTGACGCGTGAAACTATACGGGCTAACTAGAAGCCGAGGTAACAGGCAGGGTTCTTTCAGCATAGAAAAATGCCTGAAGTTAGACACAAACTGTGAGACAGATTTCTGCTAAGTATACAATTCATAATTAACTGAAGAACTTCATAGTTATCTATCTGGATAACACTACGCCAATTCATGTCAGTCTGGTATCTTTTTAGAGGATATATCGTTCAGGATATTGAGTTCAAAAATCAAGTAATCAGCCGATAATGGTGTTAGTGGAACTGTTAAATTTATCACAACATCAGTTTAATATTAAATAAGGAACAAATCCATTTCAAATGAGGGGATTGACTAAATGGGAAGAAGTATGCGGGTGAATAGTAAGAATTAAGCCTTCTTCGCCGTACGATAAAATGTGCGGAGGACAAGATATTGCAATAATTATATTTAAAAGTTCCTCTTGTCCCGTTACGGGAGTTGCTGACTACTACAAATGTGCTAACGCGATTCGATTAATTCGGTTGCGGGGATTACTTGTTATGGGCAAAATCTAACAAGGAGAAAAACAGAAAAATACCAGTATTACCTCCGTATGTGAACCAAGGGAGCATATAGCGCATTCCAAGTATATCAATGAAAACCAAACCAAAATCGATAGGCCATGACAAGAATCATGATGCACCAATTGATTCTGATTACCCCTAGATATATATAATGCAAGAACAAAAGAAGATAGTGAGGGGATTGTGGGAGTGGTTATAATATATTACAACGGATACATCATAAATATTAAGAAAAAATTCCAGTATTGGATGATGAAAACAAACTGAGAATAGAAGATGTGTCTCAGTATAACCGGGTTGTCCATTCTGCATATGATGAATTGTAGTAAACTAAAAAAGGAATATACGGGATTTCTCATTTGGAAATGTTAAGCGAATTAACATTATGGGTCTGAACTGAGGAGGCATCAATTACGAGAGGCATAGGGAGTATATTGGCCGAAGAGATAGAGGTAATTTACATGCCTCTATACGTTGCTGTCATTTATCGATAACATCCTATGTGTCTTTGAGCTTCATACATGTGACCATAGAACATATATATACCCATGGATATACATACATATATGTATATCTTTCCCCTTCTATAGGCTGGATGAGTTCAACTGTGATAAAAATAAGAAGTTTTAACCTCGTGAAGTATGATAATAATCTGACGTCATAGAAAAGGAATAATACCCAGACAGAGAAGAAGAAGCGGACAGAATGATACCAGTGATACATATTTTTACGGGGAAAAAAAATATAGTTAGCAGCATATGCAGATTCAGATTAGAAGATTGTCCATTTGGCATAAGGATGTGCCCCTTATAATTACGTGATTTTTCATGACTTGTTTTATCTATGCATATATGAAGGGAATAATGGATTGTTGAAATTGAACTGCTATAATATCAGTTGTAATTTCATATTGAACTTTAATTGTATGTTTCATACCATTAGAAGGGCTGCATTAGCGTATAAATGTGTCTATGCCCTTCTGTGGAAACCCCTATGAGTGCACTGGAATAGAGATATGCAGATGCAATGGGTAAAGCGTGGAATGTTGGGCCGTCGTGTTGATATAGCTTCCTTTATAGTTACCTTACTTTTGTGAATGCGTTCTCATGCCCTATTCTTTTTGTCAGTGTGTTTTTTGATGTTACGATATCTTCACCAGTATCCCCCCCCATGTTGCATTATTCCTATGTATCTTTTCTCATGTTTCAGCATTTTTATGAGAGTATTTCTTCATGGCGCTCCTTTTTTATATATGCGGGTTCATGTGGGCGAATTTTGCGAACGTGGTTTCACGTGGGATAATTTTCGCGGACGTTGTTTCATGTGGCCTAATTTTCGCGGACGTTGTTTCCTGTGGCCTAATTTTGCAAAGGTTCCTTCATGTGCCGTTTCTTGCGAAGGTGATTTCTTCTGGGCTAATTTTTCGCGGACGCTGTTCCATACTGCGTAATTCCTAGCGCACGCGTTTCCATTTTGTGTAATTTCTCCACGACGTAGTTTCATGTGGCTTAACCTGGTCAGAGTTGTTTCATGTGGATCAATTTTTGGGGGGGCCCCCTCATGTTTTATATCTATCGCAGGGAAGCTTTTTCGTTTCGCTTCATTATATATATTTCTCTATTTAATTTCTTCATGAGGATACACCTTTCTGCCGCATTCCTTTCACGAGAATTTCTGGAGGGTTCCTTTATGATGACATCCCTCGCAGCATCCTTATGAAGATACCACTTCAACTGGAATCTTTATGAAGATGCGTTTATCTGCTGCATTCTTATGACGATTTCTTCTGTGTCGCTTTTTCATGCTGCTTTTTTTTTCTACATTTTAATGATGCTCTTTGTGCGAGTCATGGCGCTGTCCTTGTCTTACGTCACTGTGATGTGTATTGTTTCGCGGAGGCACTGTGATGCGTACTCTTTTGCCGCGGGAGTATGATGCTTTCTCTCTGTGTAGCATCTTTCTAAGGATGCTTATATCTGGTATTTGCCTATAATAATGCTTCCTTGTGTTACATTTTTGCATAGCTATATCCTTCCTGTTGTGTTAATATGAAGATGTTTCTGCGTGTGGCCCCTTCTCCAGGATGATATTTCCTGGT